CTTAAAACAGATTGCCCGGTTTTCTTTATGTAAATGAACAATGGTCAACCAGGCTTGAGAAATTTTGAGAGGAAGGGGGAAGAAAAATTTTGGTTTTGGGAAAGACGTACCATAGGCTTCTACATATTTTAAGACCCTAGTGCAGTATTTTTGACATACATTGTTGATGTATTGCCTTCTGCCGTATCCTCAGCCCTCCCACGGATTTTCCACCCCATCTCAGCCCATGGAAGAAGACACTGCTTTATACATATGTTTTTCCAGAGGAACCCTAGAATGCCTCCTACCAAGGAGAATGAGCTGGACCTAAAGGGCTTCATAAAGTTTTTGCTGGAGCCACTGGCTCAATGCGCGTGTGGATGGAGGGCTGGAAAGCCCAGCCTGGGCCCATTGTCTGTTGCAACTTCTGGGGCCACCTATGGCAAACCTATCAGGAAGTTGCTGGGAAAAGCCCAGCTGGGCCCCAGTGCTGTGCAACTCCTGGAGAGCCATGGCTAAACCGTATGTAGTTTGAATAAGTGACGGGCGAGCGCCCATATACACGCTATATTAGAGCCTCACGGTTTCCCAAGGATTGAGACAGTTGTAAACACATCGAATTACTTGTTACTGAGATTGTGGATCAATATATAGGCTTTTTAACTTTTTATTTTCACTTAATAACACTTAACAAAATGCAAAATCAACAGTGCTCATTATGTTTGCAGGAGTAAATTTTGATAGTTATGGAAAGTTCTGTTAACTGCAGCACTTTGTTATATTTTCTATAAGCAGAATTCTCCCATTTTAGTGAATCTTTTTGTTGGCCAAAATAAAAGAGTGTAACTAGGAACAACTCATTTTGCTTTCTATAAGGATTAAGTAATTACATAAATTACCTATATTTTGGAATAATTGGCGTAATTATAATAGAGGTTGAAAATCAGAAAAACAAATGGTCTATCGATCATTTACATTTTTACCAGCACTGAGTGTTTAAAAAAAATTGGAAAACTATAACAACTTAAACTTTGTTGATAATAATTGATCTATAAGAGTACAAATACATATTTAAACAAAAGCTTGGCAAATGTGGTGTGGGTTTAAATTCTACCTGAGCAATTTTGCCTTTCGTCTTGTCGAAACTCCTTTGTGTGTGTGTTTTCATTCAGAAGGAAGGAAACTGGGAGGCTGTTAACTTTTAATCGGTTGTAGCTTATTTTGTTCTTAATATCCGCTGGTGTTAAGAAAATAGTTTAACGGTTATTTGATCATCCTGGTTTGTTCTATGACATTACTATTTCCATTTTTTTCCTGCCAGTTCGGAGATCTGATGTTTCTGAATATTTAACTTCTGCTCATTAGTTTAGTCTCACGTAAAATAGTTATGGCACCTCACACAGAAATTCCATAAAGTTTTAGAGAGGATCCATGTGACATATGAGTGAAGGACAAAGTACTTTTAACTAAATTAGCTGACATAGATAACAAATACATAAGACCATCAAATGCATGGCTTCAGGCTGGCCTGATAATGCTTAATGCTAAGGCTGAGGGTCTATTTGGCAGGGTGAGTAGACTCGGAGGCATCTTGAATGTCTGTGTGGTGACCAAGGAATCCAGCATGTACTCAGGAAAAACTTCAGGTGTAGGAAAATCAGTTCGCGGAGAAGGTGAGCCTTTAATAATGATTTGTGGTGTTTTTTAATAGCTGTATAAGAGTATATAATTCGACATTTATTTTACTGGACTTGTTTGTTTTTTGTTTTTTTGTCTTTCTTTAGCCAGTGCATCTTGCTCTTGGTGCAACCCTAGTGTTGAGCAGTCCAGGTGGTAAAAAACAGGGTTCACTGGAGCCTTGACCTCCTGGTCCAAGTGATCCTTCCACCTCAGGCCTTTCCCAGTAAGCTGGGATTGTCACGGCTTAATGCACAAGTGTCCCAGCTAATTAAAATTACACATATTTTTGTAGTAAGATACGGGTCACCACTTTGCTGCCAGGGGCTGGTCTCAACTCCTGTGCGGGCTTACAAGTTATTGCCTCCCGGCCATGGCCTCCAAAATTGCTTGGGATTACAGGTGTGGAGGCCACATGGCCTTAGCCCATAGTATTCATATTAGTGTACAACTGGTAAGTTGTTTGTGTATCTATTATATAATATTACCAAGGTGTCATATCTATTGCGCTCCAAAAGTTTCCTCATGCCTTTTGTA